CCCCCCCTCACCTCTCTCTTTCTTCTTCTCTTTCTCTTTTCTTTTTCTCTCACTTCTCTCACCTCTCTCTGATTGTTTTCCATGTGTTTTTGTATGCATCACCCCTTTGCCTGCCAAAACGACACCTTCTCTTCCGGCAGGGCGGACGGGACGTCCTCCGGCTGTACGGCTATTCGGAACAAAAGCCTGATGGGCTCTACTTCCCGGATTCCCAGTCCGAGCCGGACATCCCTCAAGTGGCATCCGTCACTGTAGACGTCATGCTCCTTCGTGCAGAGCTGAACCTTGTTCTCTTGGTACGGGGCCGTGGGGCGTGAGACCAAGAGGGTCTGTGTGTGTGTGCGGGGGTGGGTGGGGGAGACAATGGCTAGAGAACCTTGAGGGGTCCCTGCTAAGAGTTGAAGGAGACACGTGATTCTTTTTCCTTGTGTAGGAAACGCACCCCAATCCTCAGGTGTTGCAAGAATTAATGGACCAGGGCTTACAGGTGAGCAGGGCTATGCGGCAGACTGGGGGAGCGGTGAGGAAGGGAGCGGGGTGGGTCTCGCAGGCTTTGGAGTGGGTGGGTGTTGTTTTGTTACTTTGTGTTGCGGCCCCGTCAGCCACCGGCCCCTCCAGCAGCCGAATCAGAGGAGGAGGCGCGGGAGTCAGGATCCGCATTAGGGCAACCGGAGAACTCCGAGGGGGAAGAGGGAATGGAGCTGGCAGAGAGAGAGAGAGAGAGAGAGAGGAAGAGGCGGAGCCTGGGCTGTCTATCAGCCCTCAGGTGGAGAGTCAACAGCCCCCAGGTCTGGAGGTGGCTGATGAGGAAGAGGAGGAACAGCCGGGTCCAGTGCCTGATGCATGGATACACAGAAGGCAGAGGAGAGGAGGGCAGTGGAAATCTATGAGCCGGTCCTTAGGACAGAAAATCCACCGCTGCTAGCAAAACCCCACTCTAGCTCTGGGGATAAAAGGCAGGGGGTGGGGACGAATAGATGTGGCAGACAACTATTCGTCTTCCGGCCGGCCGGACTTGTTAGCCTGCGGTGAGAGAGAAACCTTTGGCCGGGGCTGCCGGCGCCCCTTGTTAAAGGAGTCTTTGAGTTCACTTCACAGGGTTTGTCGTGTTTGGGGAGCTGGGTCGGAACCTTTTGTTTGTAAGTCCCTCCATAGCAACGTTTCTCAAATCTTAGCCCCTTGAAGATGGGTGGACTTCAACTCCCAGAATTCCCCCCACTGGGGGGTATTCTGGGAGTTGAAGTCCAACCATCTTCAAGCGTTCAAGGCTGAGAGGCATCGGCACAGGGTGGTCCTTGACTTCCAACCATTCATTTAAGAACTGCCCGAAGTTAACAACGCCACTGAAAAAGGTGAGTGGTGAGCAGGCTTCGCACTTACGACTGTCACAGTGTCCCTGGGATCATGGGATCCAAGCTAGGCATGGATTCGCCTGATCACCATTTGCGGCTTTCCCAGCCGGCTTCCGGCAAGCAGAGTTGATGGGGGAAGCTGGATTTCCTGAACGGCCATGCGATTCGCTTAACAACCGTGATTCACTTAACAACCTCAGGGATTCACTTCACAATGTGGGGGGGTAAAAATCGTAAAAATCAGGCAGGGCTTGCTTAACCGCCACCCCAATGCTTAGCAACCGGGGTTGTGAGTTGCAGTTGCAGTTGCGGTTGTGAGTCACGGATTATCTTTTATAATATTGTCTGGATCCCATTTTGTCTGACCCCAAAGAAACCAGCTTCCCAATCTGGGTTCCATTATCCCTCAACCAGTTGTGCTGGCTGAGGATGATGAAGGAGATAATCCCACGCACAGGCCCATCCTTGACTTATAATGGTTTCGTTTAGTGACCGTTCAAAGTCGCCACAGCACCGACAAAAGTGACTTCAGACCATTTTTCACACTTAACGACGGTTGCAGCCTCCCATCACGTGATCAAAATTCAGGTGCTTGGCCACGGACTCACATTTATGACGGCCGCAGTGTCCCGCGGTCACGTGCTCCCCCTTTTGCGACATTCTGACAAACGGGGAAGCCAAGTTCACTTAACAACCGAACAGCTGCGGCCAGAGGTCCGCTGAACAAACATCTCGCTTAGCAACAGATATTTTGGGCTTGATTGTGGTCATAAGTCAAGGACTCCCTGTATCCGGAGGGAGAAGGATTATCAACTGGCGTACGGGCTGGTCTTTCTTCCTTCAGGATGGCTTCTAAATTTTCTTCAAGGCCTTCAAGGGAGGAAAACCTAGCATGAAGATTTATCCTGCTCCTCCTTCCATGATCCTGTTTCTTCTGTCTTTCTCCAGGTCAACCAGACGGCCGATGCTGGATCCCTGAATCCACTTTTAACCATGATTCGCACAGGTAATGGGAGAAAGAGCCACAGGGGGTTAGTTGTAAGCTGCCACGTGCCTGGGGCGTATTTTGTAAGGCAAACCAGGTTCGTAATCAAACCTGGATGGCAAATGCTGGCGGGGTTGAGATAAACCAAGATTGGAAGAGGAAGGATCTTCTTTATTAAGAGGCAGGGGAGACGTCTGAAGGATCTTCCAACCGATCGTAGATCATCCAGGAGCCATCTGTC